ATTTGCATTTGAAAGGCAGCGAGGTTTGTATCATAACAAGGTCACCCCTAGCCTCACTCCCGTTCAAAGGCTTGGCAACCAAGCACACAACTGTAAAAAGGACCATTCCGTTGATTTTGGCATTCATACCAGGCACATTAAATGTCTTAAACAGGGAATCAAAAATCGGAATTCTGTCTTAAACAGGGTAGGAAAATCAGCGATATTTGTCTTAAACAGGGTCAGGGTATGAGGGGCCGCGCCGCACCTCCCCACCCAGGAATATATCGAGTACCCCCCGGGTAGACATCCGATAACCTCTGTTCTATAAAATATCCTTGCTCTTTGATGCTGAGACTATGACGATAGAAAAATCCGGGTGAGACACTTTATGGACTACGAGCAGCCACACCTTTTCAGCGAAGTCTGTCGCGACAATAGAAAAAAGTCACACACAAAAAAACAAAACAAACAAACAAAAAGCAATAAAGGCGATTTTAGCGGTTTGTGCGGAACTCTGGGACTTTTCGTAGTCTTGGCATTTTATGAAATTGATATAAAATGGATGGAAATCGTTGAATTTCGATCAGGAAATCTGTTGTTGATGATTGATCTTCACGAATCTTTCATTAGTCAAGATGGAGTTGTATCGATCTGTCTTTGATTTTGGTTGCATCCAGCAATGAGGCTTTAGCATTTGACATTTTCCCTTTACTGAAGTCATATTTGTTGTGTTACAAGGTTGAAAGTAAAACTCTACCCAAGAGACAATTTGAATAAAATATTTGAAACAAAAGTTGTTGACATCTAGGGTTTTCATCAAGGACATGAAGGATTAAACATAACCGAAACAAAGAGAAGAACAACTAGCGACTTTAATAGCTTTCCTGCAGTTGTTACAGTTTCCGCTTCTTTAAATGTTGTTGGCAGTTGACCTTAAGCAAACCATGACGGCGACGGAAACGAGCTTTGTACATTTCTTAGCCGTCTTCTTTACAAAAAAAAAAAAAGAATACACCAAATTTTTGAATGGTCTGAGGACGGAAACCGCGATGACAGATTATTTAAGTTTCCATTTGGAACTCAACGCCGCTCACATACGTTATGCTTAAGTTGAGGTATGGCGCCGTAAGACATGTTAACAATCCTGCGGTTCGCGAAACTCTGATTACATTTTAAAATTAATTTTTTCATTGACGCCTTCCGCAGCGTTGTCGTTCAGACGGCTTAAGGTCCCTATCATCAACGGCGCGGCTGGCGGACCCAAGGCTTAAGGCCTTAAACTGTAGGCGCGAATTTGTGCCGCGAATGGAACTACTGGTTTAGACAGAAAGAAAAAGAGTCTTGAAGAGTCTACGTACGCATGCGAGGCAAGAAGGAGTTTAAATTGACATTGGTCAAGTAAGAGTTTGTCCCCTCCCCTAGCCAAGTTAACCCCTCCCCCCCCCACTCAGTATTCTGTCAGTTTCCCTAACACTTCGAGAGAAAACTGAGGCATTGTGGGAATAGAGTGACCTGAACAGGTCTCGAGCCAAGTAATTCCAATTCGGCCTCCAGGCGTGAAAACTGTTAAACCATTGAGAACCTCGCCTATAACGCGCTCTGTTTGACACCGTGAAAAAAGTCTGACAAGGAGAATCAAAAGTCTGAATATGTTTTATTTTTCTTACAACGAAGCCTCGGTCAAACACTGTCATTAGTAGATTATGCAGACTGCAAAAGTATAATTACCAAAAATATTCACTTAATTTAATAAAATAAGTCTAACATTTAGAATAGTTCTCTTGATTAAATCACTTTAACCGTTTTTCTTTAGCGAATCAAATATACAAACATCATATGGACAGTGGCAAAGCACTGAATTTTTCTTATAAAATATAACCTAGCTTGTTAACAAAAACTATACACATTTCGCCTGTTTGTCGATGATACGGCTCGTTTTCCATGGGAAAGATGCAGCAGCCTACACGACGTACTACTCTTGCGATTAATGTTAAGCAACTAATGTCGATGGATCGAAGTCAGTATCTAAGTAACTGCGCACCCACCCCTCCCCTAAACTGACCCTAACTTGTCATCAGCTGGCTGTGGTTGGGTTGGGGGTGGGGGTGTGCAGTTGATTAGTTACTGACCTTGAACTTATATTTTTCTCTCCTTTATTAAGTGGCTTCAAATGTTAAATAATTCAGATCATAATCATTGCACTAGTTTTTGTTTACATGATATACTTTGTATTATCATTATTTTTTTTTTTTTCATTCATCAAATGACAACCCAAGATCTCATCTAAATATTAGCATTGTAACTCAGTGCAATTTAATTTTATGCATTTCTCACTCATGCGGGGCTCTACCAAAATTAAATACTCTTATATATAACAGCTATCCAATAGCTTCTAAATAATTTTGCGCTCTTTTACTAAAGACGATGTCTCGTTAATTCGTTTCTTCCTCTATGTGTCAATCACAAATTTAGGAACCAATAGAAATGAAAGGCTATATACAAGCTAGATAAATTGATTGGCTCTTGAGCAAGCGCCCTTTCACTGGCTTCATTGAGATCAATCTTATTAAATACTGAAAAATAGTCCTTAATAATGTTCTTACCCAATTCCACGCGTTCAGTTGGTAAAACAAAGCGCGCTACTGTAAACAGAGCGATAATGGTGGAAGAGTGAAAAAGGAAAAAACAAAAACAAAAAAAAAAACAAAAAAAAAGTTTAGTGAACGCCTGGGACAAGCTGTAATGTTGTCTGATCGGTTTCATTACAATGGAGTTGATTTCGAAAATGAGCATCTTTAAGCCAGAATCTTAGGCAACACCTTATCCCTACGTGCTTGTTTAATTTTCAAAGGAAATTACCGTTTAAATTGTCTGTCCGAAGCACGCTGTATTTCTGGGAGGGCTCAAACAGGACGATCCACAAGACAGGCACATCATCGATTTCAACTTGCGCATAACTCGATAATTAATGGTCGTTTCTGGAGTTGCAGATATTGTGCTTCCATTCATTGTTTATCTGCGGACTTAATTTAATCTGTTCTAAATACTGTTTTTTGTTGTTGTTGTTGTTGTTGTTTTCTAAACTGCTTCCCTAACAAACGAAGAATCTCAGATATTAACAAGTTACTTTTAAAACAGATCTAACTCACCAAGTATAACGCTTTAGTAGATATGAATAGTACTTAATCTGTTTTCCTTCTGAAAACTACTACCAATTTACGTCACTAACCCTCTTAATATTCTTAAGGGTCTCTACCATTTTCTTTTCCTCTTTTTTTTTTTCTTTCTTTCTTTTTTTTTTTTGTTTACATTTGTGACTAGTTATTTTGGAACTATTTTAATCATAAACCCTTCTCATTCTCATCATATTTTGTAATGTATGGTCATTTGTATTTCACCTGGCGAACAAATTGATGTAATAAAAAAAGGATCCCATTAATCCGTCCGCCTTATTTCCATTTCTCGTTCCCCCAAATATTGGGGAGCACAAAGTATGCATGCCGAGAGAAGTTTCTCGAATCCCTCAAATTTTTATATAAAATAGTATGTGTTTTTTAATGAATTCCACAAAAGACCTTTTTCCCCTATCTACATTAGACTAATTTCATCCTGTTAAATAGACTGATTTTAGTTTATCTAATTTTTAACTCTCTTCGTATACTTTCAAAGAAATTTCAACAAATAGTTTGGGTTTTTTCATCCTTGTGATAAATAAGTATATCCACTATGTTCAGGCAAAGGAAAAATAAATCTCTTTACGAATAACGATATTGGAATAATGCATTCTTTTCACTAAATATTATACGTAAATATAATTCGCAATTAAATTATCAGCAATTGATTAAGAATTCAGTCAAGCGCAAACTAATTACGTCAAAAAGTGCAATAGAAAGGCTAATTTTTTTCTATTTACAAGCCTCGCTGGAATTATTTCTGGTTAATTTGTCTAAATAAGCGTAATAGGCAACCAATCAGATTCAATTTTTGAGCATACTAAATCATGCAACCAAAAAACAAAAAACACTTTTTAACTAGAATCGTTCTTACTTCATAACCTTTACAAAAGGTTATTCATATTGCTACTGAACTCGTTTTAATAACCATCTTCCAAGTTGAAGGAGAACTTCAAAGCTATTATAATCTACTATTCAATTGGCTTAGTGTAAAGCAAACATTTCTCCCAGTATTGATTGAGTATCGCATATGTTCTTCCTAACTTCTCAGTAAGTGGAAAGAAGCAAGACAGGGGGCGTGCCTGGATTGGTGAGGGTTAGACAAATGAAAACGAAACCGTTTCTCTAATAACCACACATGACGTTCGTTGCTCACGTATCCGCCTTCTCGCTCTTCCCGGTAATCCTGGAATAGATTAGTATCCAGTGGGCTTACGATAATCTGTGATTAGCAAGCACATGATTTGATGACAAAAAAATTAGAGCTCTCGAAACATGATATAATAAGAAAAGAAAAAAGGGAAAAATAACCATTCCCGTCATTTTCATCCAAACGCTATAAAATACGTCATTTCATGCTGTTCAAGTTGTTTTGCCACGAGTGCCGACAAAATTTGCCGAAACGTTTTCGCTCGTTTAACGAATATGTGTTCAAGGACGACCTCGTCGCTGTAGCCTCTGTGTTCAGTCCCTTCCGTTTAATTGGACTTACACGACTAATTGGACTTAAACTTGACTCCTAACCTTTAAAACTAGAGCGAAATTTAATGGCTAAAGTGCTACCTCACATACTTCATTACCGAACACCGTACCATAATAATTCTACAAGCTACTCACCCCACCCATGGGTGTGAAACTAAACAGAATTTCCTTTAACTAAGACTAGATTTTCCGTAGAAATCTGCCTCATTCTCGCGACGCCGCTTTACTTGGCGTATAGTTAAGAAAGTCAGCCAATTTTAGGCTGTAGAGCTATTTAACTGATTCAACGGTAAAGGAAGACTTAACAGCGTGTCATTCATTACTTGACTCTTACCGCATACCCATCCCACCAGACATAAAGGTCATTGTATCGCCTTGGTTGCTCGTTGTCAACGTCGACTGCACATGACTGCTATTGGGTACCGAAGTGACCGATGGTGGCCAGGGTTCTGCAGTTGGCCTCAGCCCAGAAGACATAGGGGCCTGCGTCGAATCTGAGTACTGCACCTGCTCAGCTGGCGACTGCCAAGATCGCTGGAAGCCTCCCATATGTTGCGGGGACGACCAGTAATCGGTGGTTGGTGAACGCACGCCACTACCTGTGGGAGATGAGTAGCGCCGCTGACCTCTCCCCGCAAAACCTTGGTGCTTTGGTGACCACGCCTCAAAAGGTGAAGAGGGAGCTCTGGAAAAGAGAATCAGTACCATCAACTACGGTAAAAATAAGATTAATATTAGTAGTATGAGTTATCTTTACAAGTAAAAACAAGAGCTTGTGTAATCAAGGTTTTAAGGTAATATTTACGTTAAGGTAATAAATAAATAAATCAAGGTTTTAAGGTAATATTTACGTTATCAATCTAGTCTTAGCGTTCGGTTCAAATATTAAATCGAAGTGTACTTACCCATAATTCTGTTGCATTCCGCGTGACTCATCCAATGCTCTATCAGGTAATCCCATGGGTCGAGGGCCTTGTCTTCGGCCACCCACTCCTCCCATACCGAACGCTGTCCTACCGTCCATCTGACCTTCGACTGGGACTTCCTCTGACGAAGATGAACCGGAACGTACGGAGGACAAACTGCCAGCAGAAGAAAGCCTACCGGGGGACTGGTTCGAGCCATACTGGAATGTGTCCCAAGTTTGACCTTGATTTTGAACCCGGGGCTTCCACTCCTCAGCCGACATCTGACGGCCATATCGACCATAATTACCCTAGACGGCGTTAAGATGTCATGCATTAACTGCTTTGTTACCAATGATAACATTCAATGATAAGAACTCTCTCTTCTTTTGTTTGTTGGCTTATTATTTTTGGAAAGGGGCTGGTAAGCTTGTGTTTGAGTCGTTTTTTTGTTGATGCAAGCATTAATACTCTGTTAAGGTTAACAAAAGCATTCATCATTCTTCGTCAGAAGATAGCTGAGATAGTCACTTAGTCATCAACTCCGTTTATTTAAAGGGAGTAGGTTTTTAAAGAAACTGCTGTCTATGCTGCGTCGGTGCGGGGGGGGAGGGGTGGGGGAGTTTCTAAAGCGTTAGTTTCGAGCGTTAGCCCCTCGTCAAAGCAGAACACATCTGTTGTTTGTTTGTTTGTCTGCTTTCTTTTTAGTTGTTATTGTAATCAAGTCTTCTCTAACCTGCTGGAACAGCCACGGTTTGCCCGATCCATCGCTATGCTTTCCCACTAAAGGCTTCTTCCCATCCGGAATCGGTGACGCAGGGAACTTCGGTGGGGTGTTGCCGCCTTGCAGCAACATCTCATTGATGTACTGTGTAGCAGTGCTACCATACAGTCTGCTTAAATTATTTCCCTGAGAAGGCCCCGGTATGTCGAACATAGGAGAAACGGGCTGGCTGCCTGTTCCCTCTTGCTTGAACTTCTGCTGTAAGAAGTAGATATGCTCCCGGTATTTGTAGACCTGGGCAAAATAAGGAATACCCAAACTGTCAGTTACAAACGTTAAAAAAGAGGAGGGGGAGAAGGGGAGAGGGGGTTTGGCCTTTCATCCCCCCCCCTCCACCACACACACGCACGCACGCACGCACGCACACACACACACACATTCTCAACACGCCTAACGCAGGCTATCAAGAAAGTAAGTGATATTGAAAGGGGAATATTCTTTAAGATCTCACCTAACGTGTTTGCTTTTGTTTCTTTAAATACTGTCACCCCTCTTGCCCCCTTCCCCTCC